CCACCCCACCACCCACCTGGCTTCAGAAACCCCACGCTCCACCCTGAAGCCACACACTGGGCGGCTCTGAGACCACAGGCCCTGAGTGTGGCACAGGATGGCTTTGCTGCTGGGGCTCAGGTGGACAAGTCCAGGGGACCAGGAAAAAAGTGTCTCAGGCTCGGAAACATCAGGCCCCAATTTACCGCCAAGGAATGGGCAGGAGTGGGACTAAATTTAACCCCCCGACCTCAGGTTGCAGACTGAAATGTCCACAGGGAGCAGGCAGATAATTGTAAAAGGGAGATGCGTGAAGGCCACAAGATGACAGGGAGTCAGCGAAGACAGCCAACTAAAAAATTAAATAAAAATTATAACAGAAGCCAAACAAAACCAGTTTGCAACCTCCACATAGGTCTAGAGCAGGGTTTCTCAACCTTGGCCAGACACTATGACGTTTGGGGCTGGATCATTCTTCATTGTGGGGCTTTCCTGTGCATTGTAGGATGTTGACTCACCAGATGCCATTAGCATGCCCGCCTCTCCCCCAGTTGTGCAAACTAAAAATGCCTCTAGACATCGCCAAGTGGACCCTGGGGGTCAAAACCGCCCCGGTTAAGAACCACTGTGCTAGAGTCCTGTGACAGGCCAGTCCTAGGCTACCTTCCCAAGCAACCTTGAAAGTTTGCCGATTTGAATGTTTCAATGCCAGGCATCAGCACTGTTAACCACTCCCACTAAAGAGCTCTGACCGTATGTTTGGTGCCCTGTGAATTTTCACTGGGCTTCTCAGAAGAGGTGTCGAGACGGAAGGGGGCAGGGACTGACCGGTCATGGGTGGAGAAGTGGCTGCTGTACCGCGTGTCTTTGGCGTATTTGACCACCAAGCACTTGTACTGGGCGACCTGGAAGCGACGGACGCGTCTCATCAGCTCGGTGCTGCAAGAGCAGAGTGTCAGGTGAGGCCCAGGGCTTCCGAGTTGGCGAGAAATTCCCCGTCAGCACAAGCCGGGCTCCCCAACACTTTCTAGGGGTGTTCAGCTTGAGACCCACCAACGGACAGAAAGACCGTGGAGCAGAGCGTGGGAAAGAACAGTGAGGGCAGAAAGGGCCGCATGCAGAGTTCACAGCCTCGACCCGAGAGGGAGGGAAACAAGCGCAGTACGTCACCGGGGCCTGGAAATAATAAAGGCGTGTCCAGGTTGGAAGTCATCCCCTATGGGGAGGGTGGCAAGGAACGGCCCTCAGGTGGTCTGGGGAAGGGCTGGAGGGGTAAGTTTCTCAGGGATATGGTGCAGTGGGTGCAGAGAGGGCTCCAGGGGTCAGCAGACTGCATTCCACAGTAATCTCATCCCAGGGGTCCTCACCGTCTAAGTTAACCTCATAAGAGCTGTTTGTGCAACAAAGAAAGCACTTTGCCTCTGGGTGCAAGAGCCCACCCTGAGCCTCACTTGAGTGGGCCAGGAGTTTGAGCTGGAGTGATCCCCCATGGCCATATACACGCGGGCCAGAGGAGTTCCTCAGCTGGCTCACTAGCCCTGTCCCCGTCCAGGCCGGGAATGGTTCTCTCACATGAGGGGAGCAAAGGCGCCGTGTCTTGACTCCTCAGTGTGGAAAGGAACTCAGTGTCTTTGGCCGTCTAAGGAAACAGGCACACTGGAAGGAGGTGTGCTGCTACTGTGGGCGCACAGGGCCTGGCCCACGGTGGACACAGTTTTTAAAAGACTTGGACGCCCCTTTCCGAGAGGACTTGAGTGAGCGGCTACACTGTGACCAGCTCCAGGAGCGAGCGGTGGCTGGATGACCCTAATGGGAGGAGGGTTTGACCTGGGCGGGCAGGGGAGGAGCGCCTGGCCCAGGACAGGTTTCCGGGAAGGAGCCGCATCCCGGGCGGGAACACGCGGTCGGGCAGCGGGGCTGTTCCAGGAAGGGCTCTGAGAGGGGCGGCAGGCCGGGAGGGGAGGCAAGGGAGGAGGATAGGGTCCCAGGGGGGTGGGGGGGAGGAGGAAGAAGAAGAGAAGGTGGGGGGAGGAGGAGGAAGAAGAGGAGGTGGGGGGAGGAGGAAGGAGGAGGAGGTGGTGATCCAGGCCCACCCCCACCCCACAAGGCCATTACCTCTTTCCTGAGAACATGGGTCCGAGAATCACCTAGGAGAGAAGGACAGGTCACTTCGGGGCCTGGTGCTTACCGGCCTTGACCCCGCCCCCGCCCCAGTGCCCGCACCTGGATCTGCCCCCGGGTCTTGCTGGGGGAGCTGGGCAGCACAGTGGGCAGGTTGATGCAACTCATGGCGCCTCCGAGAAGTTGGAAGCCCAGGGACCCTCCACTGCAGCCGCCCCGCAGGCTCTCGCGGGTTCCCGCGCCGTCTGCCCTGGGCGCGCGGGCCAATCGGGAGCCCGCGCCGCCGCCCCGGAGCCAATCACCGCGTGGCCGCGGACCGGCGGGAGATTTGATCGCAGCCTCCTCCTGGTGGGCGGGACTGGGGACGCGCGGGCGGGGCTCCTCCGGGGCGGGGCCTGGTCGGAGCCTCGCCTCGCCCCGCCTGCCCAGGGTAAAAGGGCGGGGCGTGCGCCCATGTGGTTGCAGATAGCAGGATGGATGTCGCCGGCGCGAGTTGCAGGAGCGAGGCTTCTTGGAAGGAGATGTCTAAAGAGGTACGCTGATTACAGGGAGTGGCTGGGGCTGAGGAGTGTAGCTCAGAGATCAGATGGGAGTTCTAGGAAGGAAGCTTAGAAGCCGTCTAGACCACTCACTCCTGTCGGCGCTGTTGAGCGCCTGCTGGGTGCCAGCTCCTGAAAGCTTCAGCACCGTGATCCATTTTACTTCTCGCCACAGGCAGGCTTTTGTTAGCCTGGTTTTACGGGTAGAGAAAATTGAAGCTCTGGCTATGATAATCTCCATAAGCCCAAAGGAGGTTGAGGCCAAAGTTCTTGATGTTAATCTCAGGTTATGCAATGAGTATGGAGAATGTGCCAGATGGTGAAGGATGCAGAAAGGCTGGTATTATTTATTTAGGGGTGGTTGTGAAGTTAGAAACAACATATGCAAAGCAGTTGTTATGATTATCATTCAATTATAATTTCCTGACTAGTTTTCCTGCATTTTAGGCAGTAGTTCTTTTTCTGGTCGTGGACACATCTGAGAATCTGCTGAAAGTTATGGATACTGCCCCCAAGAAATCCCATTCTCTTTCTGTCTGTCTCTGTCACACACATGCAGACACACACACACAAACACACACGCCTACAATATCAGAGGACTCTCAGAAAGCTATTCCGTTATGAATATCATAAATAATAGCAATAAAGATGACGACAGCAGTCACAGAGCATGCTAAGTATGGCTGTAAACATCCTCCAGGAATAACATTTACAGGTACAGATTAAACAGATCCAAAGACCCCTGGCCAAGAACCGTGTTCAATGGGAGGAGGAGGTAATCACTCAAATCACTCAAATCACATTTGAGTGATTAGCTTTACTGCATTTACATGCCTGATATCACTCAAATCACTCAAATCACATTTGAGTGATTAGCTTTACTGCATTTACATGCCTGATTCTTTTAACACTGTGAGGCCGCTGTTGTTATTATAGAGATGAGGGAGCTGAGACTCAGAGACTGTAGTAAATTGCCCAGAGTAAAACAGCCTGTAAGTGATGCAGCTTGGATGGCACTCAGCCCACCTGACTCCAGAGCCCACGACCTCTCCATGAGGACACCCTCTCTTCAGATCTCCCAGTTCAGCCTTCACCTGTCCTCCTGTGCCTTTGAGCCCTTTCTCCAAAACCTGGTTCCTTGTTACTTTCTGCAAACATCTTAGCATGACACCTGAGACCCTCCGTCCTCCAGCCCCAGCTTCCTAGGCTCACCTCTGTGTTTCAGCAGTCTGCCCGATCAGCATTTCCAAACTGGCCTTTGATTCCTTCCCCCTTGCCTCTGAGCCATTGATTGTGCTGTGTCCTCCTGCAGTCAGAATCGTACACTCTTAGGGAAGATCAGCTCTGTGTCTCTTTCTCTGCAGTGGCCACCCTGCTCCCTGGCACCCTGGTCTTAGCTGCTGCAGGAGTGGTGCCCATAGTGGCAGTAACCGGGATGCATTTATGGGACCTCATCTCCCTTTTAAGGCTGTCAGCTGGTTAAAGGCATGGCTGTCACTCTAGACCACGTATCTGAGAGCATCTGCGATGTTGTATCTGAAGCCCCTAATTAATTAGTGGGGGGAGAGTGGGAAGCGCGTTGCCAACCTGGAGACTGGAGGGACTTAAAGGAAGCTGAGGGCATCTGTGAGAGCCTGAGATATTGGGAGGGGGCTTCTCAAGGCGGAGAGGAGCATCCAGACATGCGGAGGGGTGGGCGCACACTCTGGAGAGCAAAGGTCTTATGGAAGCTTGTGTCTGTGTCCCACAGGAGCTGGAGACTCAGTACACCCCCAGCAGCTGGGTCATCCGACGGGGAGCAGAGGAGACCCTGAGGACCTACTCACAGATAGGAAATGAGGGTACCGGGGGACCTCTCGGTGGCTGCTTCGGGTGGACTTTAGCATGTGGTGGTGGTTCAGAAGGCTGGGGGAGGGAGGAGGAGCAGCCCTCCTGGGCAGTTCCCAAAGTCCAGGCCCTGCAGAAGCCGCGTCCACTCAGGGCCAGGTGCCCAGGGGCCCTCGCTGCAGGATGGCTGGAGGCAGGAAAGGCCCAGGCGACCATGCCCCACCTCCCCTCCTGCTCAGCCAAGCTGGCCGAGGCCCTTAAGGCCACATGTCACGGTGGCACAGGGAGGGGTGGTGAAAACAGTGAGGCCTCCCACTTGGCTGCTGAACATGGGATGTTGTTGCTATTTATAAAAAGCAAAGAATCCTTTTTTTTTTCTTTAAAGAAATCAGGGCTTGGGAACCTGTAAGCTATGAAGTCTCAAGGTTAATTCCCATCCCTGCCCTGTGCCTCCGGAGTGCTGTACCGTGATTTTAACACTCAGTGAAGCGTTTGTGCCAGACTGCTGAAGCAGCTCCATGGAGGAAGTGTGGGGGAGGAGGAAGCCAGCCTCTCCGCTCAGTAAGAAAATTGGATGGTGGCAAACGCTTTATTTCAGCAGACTGAACAGGGCTCCCAGGGTTGGTGGTTCTCTAAACTGACATAACTTAGCAAGAGGAACAAGTTGGTGGAGGTTTATTCCAGCACATTCCAGCACCCTCCCTGTCCCGATAGATGTGGGGTGGAGCTGTTTCCTGGGCTCTTCAGAGTCCCCTGCTGTGCCCAGCTCTGTGCCAAATCCATCTTTATTTGCTCAATAAATATTTGAGTGCAGTGAAACCTACATGAGCTTGTAGAAACCTGTTTGTCCATCTTAATCGTCTTGAGGGAGAAAAGGGCAGACCCCACTGAGAAAGGGAGTCACTTGTAAGAAGCGCAAGCTAAGAAGAACATGCTGCCTGGTGCCCTCAGGGCCTCTCTTTGGTAAGCCCTCTTCATAAGCCTTGTGGACAGCTTTAAGTTCACACTCCACCTCCCTTCCTTTCGTCAATGCTCCAGCTGGCCCAGAGCTGCTGCACGTGCAACTGACCCCTTTCACAGATGGAAAACAAGAGCCCCATAACAGGGGGCAGTAGGGCCGGGCGAGTGAGCAGAGCCACACACGTGCAAGGTTGGAGCCTGTCTCTGTTTAAAATGTTGACACTTTGTTCCTCATGGACTTTTTGGTATTAATTTTGATTTTTCTAAAAAAATATTGCATTTCAATATTATTTATCTTTGTATTGGTCAGTTTGGGCTGCCATAACAAAATGCCATAGACTGGGTGGTTTGAACAATAGGAATCTATTTCTCACTGTTCTGGAATCTGAGAAGTCTAAAATCAAGGTGCCAGCCAATTTGGTTCCCTGGTGAGGGTCCTCTTCCTGGCTTGCAGACAGCTGCCTTCTCCCTGTGTCCTCACCTGGCAGAGAGAGAGCTCTGGTGTCTCTTCCTCTTCTTCTAAGGCCACTAATCCCATCACAGAGGCTCCACCCTCATGACCTCATCTAAGCCTAATCACCTCCCAAAGGCCCCACTTCCAAATACCATCACATTAGGGGTTAGGGCTTCAACATATGGATTTTGGGGGGACGCAAATGTTCAGCCCATACAATCTTCATTACTGAGTTTTTTGGTGTGCACCCCCCCACCCCGTGTTGTGCCCAAACTCAGCTCACCCTAGTCCAGTCTCTGCTTCATGAGGCTGCCTTACCCAAGCTCACGCAGCTAGTACGGTCGCAACTTCCTGGAGCTAAGCTTCCAGGAAAGAGTGGAGCAGGCTGACAGGGGTGATGGCAGTCAGGTGGTCAGTGAGTGCCCACCAGCCAGCCTCTCCTGGCGCAGTGCCCCCGACCTCATCAGTGCTGCCTGTGGACTTGGAGCTTGCCTCGATGGAATCAAACTCACAGGAGGCAGCAAAGGAGTGTAAGGTGGAAATAATGAAAAAGCCTCCTGCCAACCCAGAAACCTCTCCACAAAGGTAGAAGAGAAAGAAAACATGTTTTATTATTGAGCTAAATCAAACTGCGATGTGCATCACAGGCAAGCTGCTAAGGAGACGAGCTAAAGGAAACCAGAAAGGAATCTCACCCTTTTATGTAGCCAGGCAGATACCCCCCATTGCAGACCTGTTCTCAAGATCAATGACGCCTGTCCTCAAGCAAGGGGACCTGACAGCACCATGTGCCACACTAGTCCATCCTAAATCCACCTGGTAATTAGGGTGGCCGTCTGTGTTTGCAAATTGCCTTTACCCAGAGGAAAAAGAAAACTTCCCATATCTTATGACGAGAGGTGGTTTGGTGTCTGCAGAAGTTAGCCAGGTGCCTGCATTCCTCCCACAGGATGGTAATGGTGAGGCAGCAATGGTGTGTGTGTGTGTGTTTGAGTTCACGGATCGGATAGGACGGGACACAGGTAGGGGGGTGAACCACGGGGTTGCTATCTTCCTTGATGATTACATTTCAAAGAGATCGCTCCCAGGTCCTTGAGAAAAACATTCCTAGGTTGTAAAAGTGGCTGGAGACTCATGTAGCTTTTAAAAATATTTACAAACATCTCAAAGGTGTGGAGAAAGGATTTGCAACTGTAAGTTCCCTGAAATAAAATGCTCTAACAAGAGGGAGAGAGGTAGACTTTTTTCCTTTTTTGCACCAGGGAGAATGAATTTTTTTTTTTTTTGATTTGTATTCATCCTTACAGCGTCAACCTATTAACTTGCAATGTTCTCTTCTTTTTTTTCTTTTGTGAGGAAGATCAGCCCTGAGCTAACATCCATGCTAATCCTCCTCTTTTTGCTGAGGAAGACCAGCTCTGAGCTAACATCTATTGCCAATCCTCCTCCTTTTTTTTACCCCCAAAGCCCCAGTAGATAGTTGTATGTCATAGTTGCACATCCTTCTAGTTGCTGTATGTGGGACGCGGCCTCAGCATGGCCGGAGAAGTGGTGTATCGGTGCGCGCCGGGAATCCAAACCCGGGCCGCCAGTATCGGAGAGCGCGCACTTAACCGCTAAGTCATGGCGCTGGCCTGCAATGTTCTCTTCTAATGAGCAGATCACTTTTATCTGCCATCAAGGCCTGGCCTCCTTTAGGCTGGGCACAACAGACTGCTGGGTGAGCATAGGCAGACAGCAGAGTGAGGCTGGCAGAGGGAGGTTTTAAGAACGATTTCCTCTACCAGTAGTTTTTAAACTTGTTTTAACAAGATTCTTTCTTTCTTTTTTTTTTTTGAGGAAGATTGGCCCTAAGCTAACATCCATTGTCAATCTTCTTCTTTTTGCTTGAGGAAGATTGACCCTGAGCTAACATCTATGCCCATCGTCCTCTATTTTGTATGTGGGATGCTACCACATCGTGGCTTGATGAGCGGTGTGTAGGTCCCCTCCCAGGATCCAGCCTGCGAACCCCAGGCCCCCAAAGCAGAGCACGCAAACTTAACCACTACGCCACCAGGCCGTAAATACATTGTACAATAAACTAAATTAGATACATATACACATATGTATGTATATATATGTATGTATATATGGAGGTTTATGTATATATGAGAGGTATGTATGTGTGTATATATATATATACACACACACATAGGTATGCATATATGCATGTGTATACGGAGGTTTATGTGTATATGAGAG